AAAAAAAAAAAAAAAAAGAATGGCTGGAGACGAAACGGTACGATCTCCGATCTCCGATTTGACGAGAGACCAAGAGATACGGAGAAAATAAAGGACCGTGTGTACGCGATATTGGATAAAACGGAGCGATCATCGAGTTATCGTTATCCTCAATTCATGGATCATCGCGGAATTCAATGGCGAGCTTGAAATCGACGTGTTAGATACGTACGTGCCACGTTCTGAGGGGAATCTTTCATGGAATGTCGCTGCTACGGAAAATTGATTGGCCGGCACATTCGCAGCGTATCGACCACTGGGATAACGCGATGAAGTTTGTATCTACCGAATGGAATCGTTTCAATCGGTTTTTGTGAGGTAGTACAAAGCAATGTTACACGTATATGGACCGTGCTTTATTTCAATAATTGTTAGATTGGAGAGGAAAGTCTCATAAAAAAGTTTCTCTTAAGAGAATTTTTTATTAATCGATACTTCGATTTAATTTTCATTTTTATTATTAAAATAACAAGTGCGATTTTTATATACCAACAAATTTTCTTCATGTTAAGGAACATGGAAAGTCCACCATCGAAGGAACGAACCTATCAAAATATATACTTAGTGCCGTTCTAAACCCTTTCGTAACAATCTTCTAATTCATGTCAGAACTTCTAAGTCCCGCGCATAAACCGTACTTCTCATAACATTTATCATCTCTAATTCCTATCTCTTGCTTAATATTACACGAATGTTCTTGATTCGTCGGACGAATCACGTTTCTCCTCGAGTTAACAAACAAAAGTGAAATGTGCGAAGAAATGAACCTCCTGAAACGGTCGTGCACCGGCAATCAAACAAGCCGGGTTATTCTCCGACATGGCTGTTAAAATTTATTCCGTGGAATCGAATGTTCTGGACCGCTCCTCGAAACCAGTGTTCCACTGGATAGCGTGCGAGAAACGTGCTTTAGCGTGCTCGGGTAAACAGCGCGGCAACAATCGAAACGCAGCGCGGTTACGATTCCCGGATAATTTACATGGGAATTCAAGCGGAGAGAGTGTGGCGCGTACGCGCTCGCGAGACAGAGCTAACGCAGTCCGTCGAAATCGTCAAACTCGTGAAAAGCGTTTATTAGCTCAGGCAGCAAGGTAAACGCCTCAGGTGGTAACTTTAAGTGATTCGGTCCGTATGGAATATTTACACACGTTACACGTTTCTCCTTGTATGCCCAGAGCTGAGAGAGTGAGAGAGAGAGAAAGAGAGAGAGAGAGAAAGAGAGAGAGAGAGAGAGAAGAAAGAGAGAATGGAGGGCTTGAGTTATGGCAGAGCTTGCATTGTGTCTGTTCTGTCGGTATTATCACGAAGTACCGTTTCGAAGTCTTCCGTGTATTTGTGCTACGTCGGGCCAAGAGTCCCGTGGAAACAATTAATCTAGACCTCTGATTACTCCACCGACTACTGAAACATCCACCGCCCTCCCTCCACTTCGCCAAACGACTGAGCTTCCGCTTCACCGACGACTTCAGACGTCAAAACTCGAGATATTAATATGTTCTCCCGGATGGTAGAACGAAGACTGACTCTCTCTGACACACTCAGCCACTCTCACGGATGCCCTCTGCTGATTAAATTATTGTTGCCCTGTCCTTTCAACAGGCCGGGATACTTTCTCCTTTGACCCGGAATTCTATTGCGTCCAACGGCTTGCTTTCCGAGAGTCTCACCAATCGTTGAAACGCAAGCGGGTTTTTTAAATATTTTATTCGATGATAGAGACATGGTCCAGGGACGTCGTTATACAAAACGATGTTTTGCTCGTGTTTTTAAAAAGAGAAAAATATCCTTCTCTTCGCTCTTCTTCTTTTTTCTTCTAATTATTTTAGAAAATATAAAAAAGGAAAATAAGAAAGAGATCACAGATCTGTACGTTACTATTACGATTGCAATTATTAGTGTGAAAATTGGTAAAGGACATAAATGTTAGTTTAATCTGAAAAGCTAAATTAGCTTTAAACTAAATCTGGAGCTTAACTTACTAAAGAAAGTGACACGTAACATACAACGGCTATAAGTTAACCGCTTTTTTACTTGCTAATCACTGACAGAATTACGTTACCAAAAGCATCCGATATGACAGAGTACCTAGTTCTCACCGCAAACAAGCTGACGGATATACTAGCTTACTCAACCGAACGTGTTTAAAGCTTCAGCGTGCTATTTCTAACAGTTCCTAAGCACTTAACGGTTTTTACTAAATCAACCAAATTTTATTAATCCTTTTTATCTTAAAATTAACTTAAAATATAAGTGTTGTATAATTTAGTTTGTTGTAGAACTGTATCTTGATTGAGGTAAGCATAGAGTAGATCACCATATAACACAGAATTCGTATAATGTGTAACGTATCTTTCGCGTTGTGGGGTTACCATGAAACCTTGTAAATTTCATATATACAATGCCGGGCAAAATAATAATTTAATCTTAATTCTAATTTCTCGAAGATCATTTAGAATTTTTTAATATAACACATAACGTCATAACTATTACGATGCAGATAGAAGTAATCTGTTAGTAAATAAGATTGTCCTTGCTGGCTTTCTGAATAAGCAGCAGAAAAACGCAAATCCTAAAGATGAAATGATAGCATACTCGAGCATTATGCTAATATCCTTCAGTAGTTTGTGAATTGCTAAGCAATCAATAACATGTATCGAGTCTTAGAGTTAAACGTCGACATGGGTTACGAGAAAAAATTTACTAAAACCGAAATTGCAAAAATTGTTGAACTAAAAAATTAGAATCTGTTTCTGAAATTTCAAATATTGTAAAAAGATCCTGTAAATTATGGGTAGGAAAAAGTTGTGGAAGACTGTAAGCATTATCAGAGCGCGAAAAACGGGCCACTATTCGTGTTGCCTCAAACTTAACATTAACATCGTGCGATATTGCTCAAAAAGCAGGCATCACGGTAAACGTCCCAAGTTTTCACCGTGTTCTTGAGAAACGTAAATTTATTCAACGACTAAAAATGAAACAAAAACCACCTCTAACGAAGCAACACGAAGAGAAACGGTTAACAGTTTCAAGAAAACCTATTTATTTGAACAAGAAATGGAAACGTATTTTATTTATCGATGAAAACAAATTTAATATGGATACTTCAGATGGATTTTCATTTTATTATCATGACTTAAGACAAGCAGAAATTATAAACAAACGACGACAAATGAATAGGAATCGTATGATGATCTGGAACAGAATTGAATATAAAGGCAAAACCGATGTATGATTTCTTGAAGGAAAAATGAATAGTCAGAAGTATATAAATTTAATGCGACAAGAAATTAACGAACACGTACAACGAATTACGATAGGAAAATTTATTTTTGAATATGATAATGATTTCATTCACCGAGCTAAAATTGTAGAATCAAGAACAATTTTTTGAAACAAAAAACATCGATTTTACTATGTGCTGCGCGTTCCCCTGATTTGGATATTATCGAAAATTCTTAGGGAGAACTAGCAATATATAAGAATGGAAGGCCGTACGATGATATTTAATAATTAAAGAAAGCTATTAAAATCTTTACAAAATCGGATGTAATAGAAACAAAAGGTTAATATTATAATAAATAACATACTAATAATAAAACCCATTATTAATTTTCTGTTAATTGCTGCACAACTTTTCTTTTTGTGTGAATATATGTATAAATTTGGTAAATGTGCTATCATTTCGCCTCAAGAATTTAAGCATTTCCTCTGCACATAAGGAATGTTAGCAAGAACGAACTTCTCTACCACCACTCCCTGCGTCGTAATAGTTATGACGCTATGTGTTACATTCAGAACTCTATATGGCCTGCAAAAAATTAAAGATAGCACACATGTGCTATTATTTTGTTCGGGACTGTGTTTACATAATTAAAATGGCATACATAGTGGAGGTGTAATTGCTAACCAAACTGCGAAACAAGAGCAAAATAATTATAATGCTTTGTATAAAAATTGCAGTACAAAATGATCGGAAATGAGATGATGAGTTACTGAACAGATTCCGAGAAATGTATGTTTCTATTTGTAAACGTATCGAACGTAACGTAAACGAATTCGCATCGAATGAAATGCGCTTGTTATTTTCGTGGGAACTGGATTGTGCAAAGGCAAAGCGCATTATTGTTTAACACGTCAATAGAAGGGACCATCTTGTTTTATTTACTTACAAGCGACCGACGCCCGTGTGAAGTTTTAGAAGATTCGACAGCATAGAAATTTAAACGATTATACGGATGTCGGATTCATTTCTGTTGAATATGTACAAAAGATACAATTTTTCTTGAAATTATAATTCATATATCGCTTTTTTCTTAGACAGGACACTTTTTTCCAAGGCAAAGAAAAACAGGAAGAACAACCATTCGACATGTATTTTAGCTATTTTCTGAGAAGAATCAGGTGAAAGAAATTGAAAACAATTTTGAAAGCAATATGGAATGTAAAAATTAGAAATCATTTAAATACCTCCGCGATGAACATGTTAACAAATTTAAACACATTCAGTGTAATAAAAAGGAGGTGACACTAATGAATTGTTATAAAATTTTAAAACGCAATTGGTATACATATTGAATAGACATGTATACCAATATGATAATTATATCATATTATAATATGATTACTTACATATGCAATCATTTATTTATAAGGGAATAATGAAGCTCATTTAGTAGTATATGTGAATAAAAATGTCTCTAAGTATTGTTCTTTCATTTGTAAATTTTCCACTATGAACGATTTTACTAGTAAAATAATAATATTTGAAAGAGACTCACCTACGACGTGCAGATAGCCATATTGTGTTTTCGCGGTCGCTGTATTAATCTGGCACATGTACTTTCCCTTGTCGTCCTCCCGTACATCTTTGATATGTAGGAACCAGGTCCTATGCTTATCATGTGTCACGGATATCCTGGGGTTCCTGGTAATAACGTGACTTTGTACTGTCAGGATAGCGCTCTTGTCGAAAAGCATCCAGGCCACCTGAAAATGAAACGGCAATCCCGTTATGCTATAAACACGATTTACGGCCTCGTATCGATTATCATAAAATTGCAGTTTCCTATCGGAACGTCGCTAACGTCACGGGGCTCATTTATCGAGATATCAGAGTTCGCGTAGTCACGGATAATTAAGGTATTGTTTATGCACCACCGAATTGTTCGAAAAATCTCTCTTCATCGTATTAATAATTTGAAAACCGATAAATAGTTTATCAGTCATTTTTATTTGTCACATTTCGAAGACTTATGCCGGGAATCGTAATTTTATTATAATGTGTATCTTATATCTTAGAGAGGCTGAAACAAATCAAAGAGTAGTGCCAGTAAGACGCAAGAAGAGACAATTAGAAGAGGAGAAAAGCGGAAAGCAAACATGGGATTTCATAAGAAGATGGGTGACCTGCGATGGTTTGACCATCTAGAAACCTGCAATCAACCGATCTTCTTCTTGCTCTCTCCTTAACGCGTTTTTCTAAGAAGTCAGTGCAATTGGATATATCATTCAACATAGACGAATTTTTATCAACGACAAGGAATTTTCCAGCCTCTGTCTTTTATTCAGATGCATCAATCCAATTATCATTTACTAATTCCTATTTTTTACTAACAACTTAGAATCTACTCAAACCCTTTTCTATCGAAAATCAAATGTACGTAGCAAAAGTTGTATTTTACAAATACTACGTTTGCAAATGATGTACCATTTATATGTCTTCCAAATAGATTTTTATTTAGATTACTTTTAAAATTACACATACTTCCGACTTGAAAGTGTTTGTACCGTGGAATGTACATTTTCCAAAGTTCATTTATAAATTAAAAAGTTAAATTAACTTGCAAAGTTCATTTTCCGCAGAAGGAAGGTATCACATTTCAATCGTAAACCCATGGTCTTTTCAACTCAAAACTACTTACAATTAGACATCATAAATTCAACTTCGCAAACTTGTCGTGAAGTTAATTTACAAAGAAAAGAACAAAGAGAAGAAGCACGTGGCAAGTGTTACATTTTCAAAATTTCAGCAGAATTCAATGAGACTAGTTCAGCAATCATGAAAAACTGATTGAATTCTAATCACGAAGACCGATTCGCGGCTTAATCGATACAAAAGGAAGTAATGACCGATACGAGAGAGAACGATCTGATGAAGAAAAGAAACTTCTCTTGGAGCAACGAAATGTCCGACAATAGTCCCTGGAGAAATAAGAAGGCGTCTTTCGCCCGTGTAAGTATACGACGCTGTTTACTTCCGATGCATTCAGTCGATACAGTCACACCTTGCAGCAGAAAATAGGTCACTACGTTGTTACTCCGCGACATTCTTGCGATGAGTTTCGATTCCTCTTTAAGTGACCGATGTTTACGATCAGGAATAAAAGGATGAATGAAAGAAAACGGGAAGAACGCATAGATGGGAGAAAGTTTAATCCGCGTTTAATTTCGTATAATTTTCGTCTATCTAATCCTTCTATCTAATCCTTCTTCGATTCGTCTTGCCTATCTTAACGCGAAATGATGGAAATGGTCTTTCGCTGTGTCTCTCTTTTTACAGTAATATGCTCTTTGTTACGCCGGGCGACTCTCTGCCTGGCCCAGGTCACACACCGCGGGCCAGACGGAAACCAGATGTCCGCTCTTCCGTACGGCGTACCCTCAATAGCCTTAAGCACCCGAGTCACTTGCCTGCTAAGGTCCTTCAGACCCAACAAATGTCTTTTCTAAATCAGTTTCCAAAGACTATTGTTTACTACGGCTTGACACGGGAAAGTTAGTTTTCTCACGTACGATGCTTCCTACTAGCAACTTTCTATCGAGGGCGGTTAAGGCCCTTCCTAGTCCACCAACCTTCGTTTGTCCAATCCGAGGCAATGTATATACTGCCCTCACCTCCTGACCTATCATACATTTCCTCTCCTAAATATCTTATAGTGCTACGTCCACTAATACATTAAATCCAATTATAAGAGCCCTGCTCTAACGTACATATCTATCTTATCATCGTGCGATAAGTGATTATCTATCTATCTATGCTCATCAGTGTAATCTAAGTGTTGAAAGTATATAATTTATAATTCTGTGAGTCACAGTGTTATACAAACTCAATCACCCCTATTATCTCAACGGAAATCAGGGGATTGATCAAGTCGTGGTATCGATTGTTATAATCGTAACGGGAATTTACGACTCCCGTTGACGTCTCTCCTAGCGACTACGTCTCCCCGCGATTGGTCGAACAAACACTCTTTATGCTTTATACATCACAAAGGTACCCTTTTTGGTTTATATTTTCAACAATAAGATCTCTTTGCTTTCCTTCGTATAGCAGTGTATTTCATTCACCTTGCCTAGTGTACAAGCTCTCGTGGCGCTGTAATGAAAGGGAAGAAAGAAAATGAGAAGCAAGGAGGAAAAAGATCCGTTTCATTTAAAATCCGCCTTTCAATAGATAACATAGTGGATGTTAAACTACTAAATCACGGCTCATCAAGTTCAGTGATACAAAAACTTCTCCTGATTGCTTGCAACTACGATTTTAACAATATGTGACTCTAAATGAAACTTTTAGAACGTTCTCTAAATGTCAAATTTGTACCATCGATAGTACGACTCAGAAATCCATTGTTTTGAGAAGAAACAACCATGACTGAGCGACTTCTCCTCACAATCGATAAGTCACGCAACATTCGCTGTCGCGACTGGGGAGAATGCAACTCCATTGCCATAGTCATAAGTCTTGGCGACCATAACCAGCGACAACGTCGGCACTGACTCGTGACAGTTCTGCGTTTCACCCCCGTTTTTCGTATTCCGTAGTGGAATTTTCACCTCGATTTATCCGGGCCGACTGTCAGCGTAACAGCGGTTATGTCTCTGCCGCAACGACCCGCGTCGAGACGACCGGCGTCGAAAGGATTCCACTCTCCAGTGCGCCGAAAAATCTGCCCGGCACTTTCGTCCAGACGTAGACGAACAACGGACATTAGTCTTCCTGAGGAACAGTGGGAACGGCGTTCTGATCGATGCCAAGCATCTCGATTCGGTCGCTCGCGAGGTAGGACGAAAGCGCGCAACCGCGTTTTAGTGTCCTCGCGTGACTGGAAAATGAGAATTCTTCGAATGAAGAATGATATCGAAAGGGGATAAGGGTAGGCGTTCATCGATAGGTGGGAGATCGGTTTGTGATATTTTGATTAGAAGATGAATGTGATTGCGTATGTGGAATAAAAAAATGACGTGAATTTTTATAGCGAGTGACTGAGTCAGGGATTCGGAGAGGTAAAATACTTGAGATTAATTATTTTACCTTGCAAGGAGTTGTAGTGTTGTACTTAACTTGAAGGAAAAGCGTTATCAATATTAGATAAAATATATCACATATAGTTAATTCTCAAGCGTCACAAATAAGAAGCACATGGAGAAACGAATATATTTTAAAATAGAAGTTTAAAAAGATCTATTTAAAAAGAATGAGAATCGTCCGACCCAGATCAGACAACAAACCCCGTGTCTGTAACGTATCATAGAAGTGCCACTAAACGCAACCTTCGGCTCGACTTAACCACCTTTGAGGGCTTGCTAACCATGGTCGCTGAAATAGTATCGCCCCCGACCCTCGTTCCCACCCTTGTAAAACCTTCGTCACGAGCGATTGACCTCAGTGTACGCTGCCAAGTGTTCCACAGGTTCTCCCTTGGTGGTTTTCACCTCGTCATCATCGTTCAAACGGCCACAAAATGCCGAAGGGACTCGGCCGACTTGTTAAACTGAATGTTACTCTTCTTTCTCGGAATGAAATGTAAAGCGGGTATCGAAAACTACAGTAGGATTATATTTACTGTCTTAGATTTTTATCGTATCACCGATTGATTCGTCGATACTTTTGTTTCTCTGTTTTTCTTTCACTTATTTTTCTCTTTTCTCGTTATTCCATCAATTCGCAATATTTACATTCGTTCGTGGAAAATGTCAATTGTGCAATATTCGTGAAAGGACCCTCTTATCAAAAGAGTACGAGATATCATACTTTTCTATTAAACATTCTATTAAAATATAAATTGTGAACACATTCTACCATTAATTCCAAGAAAAACTACAAAAACTATCAACAATCGACTTTCCATGGCTCGTTTCGTCTTTCTTCATCTATCAAAAGAGTCAACAGTTGCTTTATGCGGCAAGTAAGATAGATGTCTGAGAAGAGATTCGCGGCAGGCGATCCACGAAATGCTAAGCATTCACCAAACTTTCCACGAATCATTAATATCGTGCTATAAAATCCCTGCAGTGAATCATTGCTTTCGTTTCGGTTACTTGGCTTTCCGGGAAATCTGATGACGTCCGCAGAGAAAGTCATTAAGAGCTTATCGTAAGTTAGTAATAACGAGTATAGATTGCTTCTACTATCACGCATTCTGCCTCTATCAAATCCCAAAAACCACGAAGGATACCAAGTTGTTTAAAAAACTATACAGCGATCGATCAATCGATTAAGAAAAGAAGAAAAAGAACAGTTACATGGTACTATTGTGTGACAGCGTTTCACTGGAGTGCATCAACATGCACGTTACGACAAAACTAAGTGTGTACTTGTTCCTCGGAGAGCTCGCTAGCGCGCATTGATTCCTTGCCACGGGAGGAGAGTTACAGCTTTGTTTACCACGCGGGCGACGAGATCAGCGCCATCCAGTCTGGCTCTGGTTCTCTGTATTGCCACCGTCTCTTCTTCTTTCTCCGCCAGTTCGCCTCCTTTTCCATCTCTTCCCTCGGTTTCCTTTTTCCGTGATCTTCTTCTCCTCTTTCTTTGACCGGCTGTCTGAGCCTATAGTTCGCGTCAGGATCGACCCCCTTCATCTTCTCGTGCATGTTTCTTCCGCTCGAGCTTCGTGAAATACGCAAACACATACCATGACAGAGGATATGTATAAAATTGAACTGACAATCGAAATTTTGTCCTTTTAGTAGGACTAAGTATAACGGTG